TGTGGAATGACTCACATACAGCACCGAGCACTCTTGAATTATCATCGAGTATGGGAAGTGAAGCACGTCACAATCTTAGCTCTACAAGTCTGTATGCTGGCCATGATGGGATACTGTCAGTCTCTCCTGGATTGAGTTGCAGTCGTCGTGGTTGTTGATGGGTCATAGAGGTCTTCAGATATGAGGATTGCTTGTGTAGATAGATAGGTATGGTCAGTCTGCTGATGTCATTATCATGTTAAGTAGCTACACTGTCTGCACAGGCATGAACGGTGGACGCTCATCAAACAACCTGTCTTGACCGGGATGCAAGTGAACCACGTGTGCGCAAACGTTGACCAGTCATAAGCGTTGAGGGAAAGTGGAGATACCACCTCGCCCTGACAGTTGGTACCGCACCCTCCATGTCTAATATAGATGACCGCCCCAGAAAAGCAGCAATGAAACAGGCAGAGGCCAAGAAGAGAAGGGAAGACCAAGCGGAGGGAGCAACTTCCGAGCAAGCCTTTCACAATCAGGCAGTGATTGAAGGGGTGCATAGAGTTGGGGTGTTGCAGAAGATGATGGGGTGGAACACGATCCCAGGAAATACAAAATTTAACACTATCGATGTTAATCTGGCGACGCTAAACCAAAATACAGAAGAGAGGGTTCAGTAGGCCTTCTAGTATAAGCTTCCTGATTTGTATTGTTGTTTTAAAGTGTACACACACAACCCCCATTTATATTCTGGGGGGAGGGGTGCGGCAGTCCGGTTGCTCATCCGTGGCAAGCATAAGAGTTACATATAAATCGATAAAACAGTGAAAGCAAGGGCAGGGTGAGGGGCATGGGGGGTGAGAGGGGTGTTTGAACAGGCGCTGGTTGTCTAAAGTACCCAGTCCTCTTCATGCCTTCTGGCCCTTACCCTTTTTAAATTTGTTTTCCTCTATCCATGGTACAGTCCCATGTCTGTACTGTCCATGTCAGGATTATCTGAAGAATAAGAGAACTCAATTGAGCATCAACGTTGATGATATCCGGCGCTCAAAATCTATGGTGTCAGTGAAATTACAAAATTGAATGCAGAAATTGTGTTGTCCCCAGTGCTGGTCGTGGCACGTGGGGGCAGTGGGCAGGGCAGGTGGCGGGGCATGGGGGGGAGCTGCCGTCCCCTTGCAGAACCAGTCAGTCACTATACAGGTACTCGGCACATTGGGCAGGCTCATAGTACAATCAGAGAGCACCTGTAATACCAGGATGGTAGAACTGCATTTTCACTGTTATAGGATCCTGCCCGTTTATTATATGATAATTGTTTTACTTGTAATAACTTAATAACCATAGAGTAATTAAATAATTATAATACTTGTCAAAAATATCTTGGATACTCGGATCTCTCAAGTCTCAACTATACTTGATCATCTTTTTTATTCTCTTATTAGACTAAGGGGCTCGTTAGACACTCCTCGAGCGCACCAATTCCCCGAGGAAATCTTCGTTCCACCTATCCTCGGGGAAAAAAATCGAAAAAAAAGTGAAAACATTTCCTCGGGCCATCCTCTGGGAATCCTTGGGTCACAACCATTTTGTGGCCTCCCCCAAGGTACCTCCCGAGGTCCCTTGGAGGTGAAGGATCCGCGATAATTGGAGAGGCAAGGGCGCCCGTCGTCGGCAGGAAATTATCGTCGGCTGGTCCTTTGGAGTTCCTACCGGGCGGCGCACAGACATCGTCGGGCTTCAACATTTGGCCTCCAGGAACCGTACCCCAATGGCAACTGTTGGTGGCCTGCCGACTCCCATGCACATCGTCCACAGCCGTTCTCCCTCGCAGCACGTGCCGCCAAATGGAAAGCGGGCCAACGGACGGAAAATTCAAATATTTGAGGCTGCCAAAATTTCTATTCCCAACTACATGACGTGAGGCATGACGACGGCGTTCATCGGATTCTCTAGTCTGTTGTTTGCTGCCCTCTTCTCGTCGCCGTTTGCTGGAGCCGTACCGGCGTCGTGCAGTTGCTGCCCTTCCCCACTTGTCGTTCATGGCCGACATCTTCCGTAGACCACCGCTGCTGTTCCTGGTGTTGGTCACACTTCTCCGTGTTGTCGTCTTCCACGTGTGCATCCTGGTAGGCTGACTGGATGCACGGGCAAGAGGCGTTCAGCGATGAAGGGCGTCATCATGGAAGGGCGGCAGGTGAAGAATATGACTTCAGTGGACTGACTCATAAGCTACGGGCCGCGCATCGTTCCGACATGCACTTCAAGGTCGTACAACCCGACTGCATACGCGAACCTGCCACCGCATGAACAACCTTTGCCCGACACATCAGATGAGGAGGCAGAGGATGCACGGTCACGTACCGTGGCACTGGGAAGCGGCTCCACCTAGGAGTGGGCGGGGAGCCAGTTGTATGGGAATCGTGAGACGACGTCTCGTCAGCCTTTCACAGAACTACTACAATGTAGCCGGCGTGAATCTTTCATTCAGGCTGTGTAGCGGGAGCTCGTCGACCGCCACACATACAGTCCTCGTCAACTCCCACCCCGAGGACGACGCGGTACGAGTGACACCAGTCGGCCGATCACCAAAAGCTTCGAGCGAAGAGTGGGTGGCAGCAGAGAAGACAAGGGAGCGTTCAAGAGTGCATTTGTCGGCGTCATCAGGGCCACGTGCTGTTGTCGGTCGTTCGAACTGGATGCTGCCACCATCGCAGTTGGGCAAGGGGAGCCGCAAGGAGGTCTGCGTGCCAACGAAGATTTCACGAGCGGTCCTGGTGAGCGGGTAGGGAGGCAAGTGTAAGTGGAACATCAGCAGCAGGTGCGCAGAGAATGTGACGAGTCCATAACGCGGGGGGTTCAGTGACTGCGCGTGAGGAAGGTGATGACAGAGAAGGAGCCGACGGTAGTGGACGCCGATGATTACGACGCCGCCGTCGAGGGTGACGATAGGCAGGACGACGAGACGGCCTACGTTCGGCAGATCAGGCGTAAAACCATGGGTGGTCGGTCAAGGACGAGCAAGGCTTCTACGTCGACGGCGTGACGGGGAAAAAAGGGGGCGGCTGAGGGGAGCGAGGGGGAAGGTGAATTGGAGGGTGAGGCCGGACGAAACTTCTGGTCAGTTGACCTCATGGTTGCCCTCATCACGACGAAGCGGGACCTGGATGTGCATCTGCAAGGGAAGGGTCACGCATGCTCTCGCATGAAGTCGAGGGAATGGAAGTGGGTGGATGTTGAAGAGAGGCTGAAGAAGGTTGGCGTGGAGAGGACAGCCGACAAGTGCGGGAAGAAATGGGACAACTTGATGCAAGAGTTCAAGAAGGTGCACCTGTTCCAAGGGGAGTCCGAAATACAGGACTTCTTTCAATTGACGGGAAAGGAGAGGTCTGCTGATGACTTCAATTTCACCATGGATCGGGCCGTGTATGAGGAGATCAAGGGTTCCACTGCAAAGAGTCACACCATACACCAGAAGAATGTAGCCGACACAGACGGTTCCTGCGGTGTCCAACTGCCGTCCGGGTTTTCAGACGGCCCTGAATTTGTGGGCGATGGGGACGCGGGTGCCGACGGCAACGAGGAAGACGACAACTCCTCGAAAGGGTCTTCACCAGCGACGGGGGTCTGGCAGTTTCGGGAAGAGGAAGAACGCCAGGCAGCAGACTTTCGAAGCTCTCACGGAGTGCATGGAGAAGCACGGGACGCTAATGGCGGCGACGGTGGAGAGTGCTAGCAAGAGGCAGTGTTCCATTCAACTTCGACAATGCGAAGTTATGGAAGCGGAGGTGGAGGTGCAGAGAAAGCACTACGCGACGTCAGACGATGTGAGCAAGCTCATGTGCCAAGCACTGTTGGAGATAGCGAAGGCTATACGGGAGAGGTAGAACAGGGAATCCTGTCGTTCATGACATTGCCTGGGGAACTTACTGATTGGCCTTTGCCGCTTGCATCGTCTTCTGTTGCCTTGGACGCCCCATGAACAACCATCCTCCCGTCATCCTCCTCCGACACCCTTGATCAGCATGCCTTCCTGGCTGTCTCTCCATGTCTTGGGGGGTTGGGGGGGCGTCTGTGTTGTTGTTTATTGTTTTCGTCTCCAATTTTTTTTACCGAAGTTACCATGACTGTTACTATGTGGGTGGTGCTGGCAATGGTAGTTAATAACCTTGTAGTCTTAGGATATTTTTGTTTCGAAATTTTGAGTGCGCACGGGTACTCATCCCCTGCTGCGCACTTTGTGTGATTTTTAGGCTTGCAACTGCCAAGTCCAAGCCTTGTCGTACATGTATTGTCGTCGTTCGGTAATTTTACGCAGCCACATTCTGTGTTACTTTTCGATTTCTCGTTCGTCTCTCTCTCTCTGCAGAACTGTTGGGGGGCGGTTGGGTTGGGGGGGGTTGGGGGAATGGGGGGGCCAGAACTGTTGCATGGCTGCTCTGCGAATGCGAGTGTGTTTTGGGGTGGGTGCGGAGGGTGTGTGGCGGTACATGCCCTGTTTTGTTGGGGGCACGGTGGGTGGGGTTGTGTTTCTTTGTAGTCGCGTGGGGTGCGTCCACCGTGGGTGTGGTGGGGTGGTGGACGATGGCACTTGCGCGGGCCACCTCGAGGGGTCCATTTGTCTTCTGCAATGATGAACAGATTCCAAACTGGACGACTGCAGATCAGGCGACAATCGTGGTCTACGATGTGGGTGCATACCTGCTGGTGGATGCTCAAGGCCTGTTGCACGACAGTCGCAGCAGACGTGTTGCTATCCCCTGTCCATGTGTGCCGAAGGAAATGGAGGGGCGGTACTCACACATGTCATCGTCACCCAACAACCCGCACCGTGGTTTTATAGATAAAGTGCCTCCCCAAGATTGTCCACAGTGGCGGGCATAGACCTCCCCCTCGTGTGTCGTCACCTGCACATCGCCGTCTCCACATGTGAACGGCCTCCACGATTACTTGCCTGCCATCGTCGATGTTCGTGGTGCGCAACGTTGTAGCCGCATCATTCGTCGTCCCTCTGCACTTACGCCTGCCATTGCCTGACCGCCGCTAGCAAACCACCTTCCGCTAATCTATGCGAGCTCGCCACGTGTGTCATTCCATTGCCCGCAACCGTATCTTCCTTCATCTTGGCCAAGAACTCCACGCAAGGCCCTGTCGCCCGTCTGCCGTCCGAGTCTTCGACGACGACACCTCTCACGTCGGCGTGTTCTACGGCGACACCTATGAAGTTCGCGCATCTGATGTGACACGTCTTCAACGACGACAACTCTACAATCCAACTGCGATGTCGAAAGGAAGCCGTCTCCCACACATCGTCAAAGGCAGCCGTCTGCCGTTTGTGTGTTCTACGAAGACTCCTCTGATCTCTACGCATAGTCGAGGCAGCTGTGTACCGCCAGCGCTGCAAATATAGCACCCACATCCCACGTCATGTACGCATGGCACCCCATTGCGCAGTTCGTGCCATCGTCGCTTTCCGGTGTTGTTGACGTCGTCTTCACCATGTCGTCATGCGGTGGTAATCGCGACAAGAAGAGGGATAGTTGCAAAGTGGAGACGCTTGTGGCCGTGAATGAAGGACGACATCAAGCGAAGAACAAGAAGGTTCTTGCAGAGGGCCCTTTGAAGGGAAGTGCCTTGAGGGACGAGGATGGGTGAGGGATTTCGAGGGTGCCAACGATGACGAGGGCTTCGTGTCCGAAACAGAAGTGGAATCCATTAGACCAGAGTCTGTGCGTGCACAACGGGTGGTGCAGATAAATGAGCCACGAACGCAAACTGCTCCCCAACCCGGCGGCGGGGAAGGGGTTCGCAAGGCTGATGTCATCATCGATGTCGACGCTGTTCAAGCAGCGAGGGAGGTCCAAGTGAAGGCAGCTGCGCAGACGGCGTGCGCTGGGGGGACCGTTGCGAGGATACATGTGACTGCGCCGCCTGGTGGGCAAGATTCTGCATGGGTGCAATCACCCACAGCCACACCACGTGCCTAGACAGTTCCAAAGGCGGGAGGGGCCGCGAAGGTGGCGCTGCAAGGAAGCGACCAGGGTGCACAGAGACAAGATGCGGTGGACATGCAGGGCGGTGCCGTGGCAGGATCATATAGACCCACGACGATTGCAGCAGTTGTGGAGAGCCGTGGGGAAGGCGACGATGACGAGCCTTTGGTGAACAGGCAACGGCGAGGGAATGCACGAGACAGGATTGAAGCTGCGTCAAAGCTCTGGGTGGACGACATGAGGTTATGGAAAGAGAAGGAGGGCAATGGACTCTTCAAGCTTATCCAGGAAGCGTGACTTTATTTGCTGGCTATCGCCAGGGGAGTCACCACTCCCGAGATCCTCGTAGTATAGCCCTACCTCACTCGAGCATCCCGCAGCACAAATCGACGATGAATCGCAGCTGAAGGCGGCAAAAGATAGGGTCATCAAAGTGCAGAGCATCGCCTTGCACGTCATCCATGGATGAATCTTCAAGTCCGCGGGCCACTCACGGGGCTACCACTCCACATACGGGTACGTGCTGAACCAGACGGCGACGGACATCGCCCGCGTCATGTGGCTTGGAGAGGACTGGCGCACTTGTGTCAACCCCTCTATCTTCCACATCATACTAGAGATGGACATGAAGCTCCTCGTTAGGTTCGTCGGTGCGCACATCGAGGACAAACACGAGGAGTTAACGTGCTACCAAGAGGCTACCATGCAGCGCCTGATGGGCGCCTTCACTAGAGCCGTCAGTCTGGCGGAGGGGATCGACGGGGGCGCATCTCCTACGGGACGCTAAGGAATATCGCTAACAGTATGAGGCTTCTACTCGTGGCGTCAATGTGGCTGATGAGGATGAGTGGGGATGTTATGCATTCCCATTTCGATGCGTCGTTGTTCGTGCAGCTGATCGCGAAGCCAACACTGGTGGCGACCATGCATCGGTGTTTCGATGCTCGTCGCCATATCCTTCAGGCAATCATCGTCGTGATGGAGAGGATGGGGAAAGCCGCCATGACATTGGCGAACCCGCCTCTATACATCCCGGACTGGGTGACTGCGGGATCACTTTCGGCCATGACGCCACTCTTTCGTCGCCGATGGCCGTGAAAAGGCTGGAATGGTTGGGCACTGGCCGCGCGGAGGACGATGACGACAAAAAAAACGGTAGGGGCAAGGATGGGGCGGGGTAGAGAAGCACAGTCGGCATCACGTACAAGATGGGTAATCGCGTCCAATGATGAGGTCGGGGGCAGTCGCGCAATATCGAAGGATGCAGCCAGTGGTTGATGGGCGTCGATGGGTTGCTGGCCCAGTGCTTGTGCGACTCGTGGCACACAGCTTGGGGGGGGATGACGTCCCATATGGAGGTGGGGGGATGTGCTGGCGTGCACTCGCACGGGTGCAGTTGCAAGTTTCCAGACCGCATCCCGGATTGTGGTGTCTTCACGTTGTGTGATGGATGGAGAGAGAGAGAGAGAGAGAGAGAGAGAGAGAGAGAGAGAGAGAGAGAGAGAGAGAGAGAGAGAGAGAGAGAGAGAGAGAGATGTGTTTATTGTTAATCAACGACACACTTTTCTAGGTTTCCACGACAGGAATCTGGTGTGTTCACAATTCCATGCGTGGGGTCTTTCTGCGGTCGTGATGCACGTAATACCACCTTTGTAGTGTGTGCTTTACGTCGGTGTTTGTTGTGCATGTGAATGATGTGATTGTGTGAGTATCTGGTGTTGTTCGTGTGGACTGACCTACACCTACATGGCTTGTGTAGGGGTTAGGACAAAAGGCAACGGGAAGATGAATGGTTTTGAGCAGTGGATGATCAGTCAAAACGTTTTTCAAAGCTTAAGTATGAAGGCTATGTTACACGAAGTTGTCCAACACAAGAATGTCCTTCTTGGGGAGATGGCTGAGCTATGTTTGAATACCACGTCCCACGTCGACAACACAGACATCACATGCATTGGGCATCGAATGTCTATCGTACGACACACGACCATCACACTATCCACACGCGCGCCACAACAAACGTCAAATCACAGGAGAGGTCGCAACGCTAAACCGCACGAGAAATTTATGAGAACCAAACACACGAACGCAAACAAGAAGGCGCGCATGCATGCGTGGGAAGCACAACGACCTCCCCTGACACAATGTCACCACGTGTTCTACCATACAACCGAAAAAGAAGCAAAATTTTTGACACTCAACAACATCACACACCATCCACACGCACAAGTTTCGAAATAACAAAGCACAACATGAAAGGTTGTCCAAACAACGAAGAGACTATCCTTTGCAAGAGAAGTACGTTAATCGGATGTCTTAAAAGGACACAATTGCCCACACAGGGGTCGGATGCCATGTGTGGAATTCAAAACGAAGAAATCTCGAAATGCAACAACAAACATAACCAACCGACAACACATGGCTGCGACGATCATCTACCAAAAAATGGCGGCCCGTCACACGCGTGTGGGTCTTGGCATCCCACGATGCCCACACAAGACACCATGTACGCTACGAAGAGGCAACACACTTCCCACACGCTGATGCGAAAAACCCAACAGGCGACGGCATGTGACGAGGAACCTCTCTCTCTCTCTCTCTCTCTCTCTCTCTCTCTCTTTCTCTCTCTCTCTCTCTCTCTCTCTCTCTCTCTCTCTCTCTCTCTCTCTCTC